ACCAAAATGTTTGCTAGATATTGTGAAATAGGAAGAAAATGTTCAAATAGGAAGGGAAACTAGGGAAGGGGAGAAGGAAGAAAGGAAAAAAATAAAAAAAATAAAAGGAAAAATGGAAGGAAAACTTTTGTAAATGAGGGGTTGAGGGGTTGAAGGGAGGGGAGGGTAAGGGAAAAAATCATCATGGTGTATCATGTACAGGTACAAATTCTATATGATAAATGTTTTCATTATTCACATCTAAAATGTACCAATAAAATTAATTAAAAATAGAACAGATATTAACTTCAAGAACAGAGTTGTACACAGGCTGGTGTTAATGAAAGTTTATGAAAGAATGTGCCAGGCAATCACTTGGATATCAAAGGACGGGAAGTGGGTGGTACATCTTGAGCAACTAAGATACTGGGAGCTGATGGACTATGTTTTCTTCTCTGTCTCATGCTCACCAATGCACACTGATCCTAATTCTTCTGTCTTTTAACTAGAGACCCTCTCATGCAGGCGGGTCCAGTGTTCAGCCCAGATTTGATGTCTCATCAAGAAGTAGTAATAAATTCACATGGTTGAAGTCATGTGGGTATATAAAACTACACACCTCTCAAAGATGCTAAGTATCATGGTCAGAATCCTAATTCATATCTACTCATTTGAAAGTTTATATTCTTTCACTCCTGGACAAAATGGGAATAGAGCAGACCAGACTTTACACATTAAGTCACCTGCCTATGTTGGTGGGTACATCTTATGAGGTCTAAGAAAAACACTATAACTGGCAAGAAGTTCAGATATCATTCCATTCCAGTTTTTCATTTTGTAGGCAAAGGATGTGACAGAGGAAGATGGTTAATATTTACTAAAAAGATACTGAAGCTGGTTTTGGTGGCTCACTCATATTTTCTCAGATATCCAGGTGCTTGTTGTCTCAGCTGTCCAGAATGCTGAGGAAAGAGGATCACAAGTTTGAAGCCAGACTGACCAACTTAGTGAAACTCTATCTTAGAATTTAGGAAAACAACCCAAAAGATAAGAATTGTGGGGTGTATTTCTACTCAGCAGGTAAGCAGTAGAGTACCCTTGATTCAATCCTTTGAATGAGAGAGAGAGTGAGATCTGAAAAAGAGAAAAATAATTGTTCTCGTAGGTACATAAACAGTCCCATTGGTTTCCAATATTTGTGGGATTGAGGCAAGGTAAGGAGTAGAAAGTGGGAGCTGCAAGGGAAATATGCTTATCCAACACAAACCAACAGCATAAATAAATTTAGTGAATATTTACTTTGATCCTATAGGCCCAGTTGATGAGAGAATTCTTCGTTTCCTTTCCTCCAAGTTAGATAGTGTATTGGTATCCTTGACTCTGATCTTGATGAAAAGTGCATGAATTGAATTTTGGAAATATAGATATACCTATGAAAGGTCTTGGTATTAAACTAAGAGAAGCCAAAAAGCAAAGCTATTCAAATGATCTCGTCAGTATCCTCTGAGTGCCAATCTAAGAAAAGTACCTACATGTTGATCAACTTTTCTAGTGCAATATAGTAGATATTGCACTGGTCTTCTTTGACTCCTCCTCATCTTCCTACATTGGAGAGGGAGATGAACTGGGCAAGGGTGAGTCTGAGGACCCCTAGACTCATACTTATGAATGAGAAGCCACTTACAAATGCGAACACATATAAATTACTGCAAATTTCTCAGCAGAAAGTCTAAAGGCCAGGAAGACATTTTATGTAATGTTTCAAGCACAGGAAATAAAAACTATACACAGCTAACATATCCTTCAGAATTGAAGGAAAATTAAAGACCTTCCAAACTAAGGATTTACAAGAATTCATGACTACTAAGCAAGCACTTCAAAAGATATTTTAAGCACCACTGCACAGACAAGTGGACTAAGAAATAAGTATTAAAAGTGAATAAAATATCATAAAAATGAGAAAATGACAGGTATTTGTACATACTTTAAAAATGAATGTAAATTGTCTTCATTCTTCAATTAAAAGAAACATATTGATAGATTGAATAATAAATAAGATTTAACTGTATTTTCCTGGAAGAAGCACACGTTACCTGCAAAGATGTACATAGCCTGAAAGTAGAGAGTGGAAGATGATATTCCACGCAAATGGAATCTGGAAGCAAGCAGGGCCAACACAATTATACTGAACAAGCAGATATCAAGTCAAAAGTAGTCAGATGGGACAAAGAAATTTCTTACATATCAGCAAAAGGACCAATTCACCAAGAAAATATAGCAATAGCAAATATATATGCCTCCAATATTAGTGCAGAGAAATTTCATAAAACAAATTTAAAGGAGCAGGTAAATACCAATACAATAATAGTCTGTTACTTAAATATCCTGCTTTTACAAATACATGAAGCATCCATTTGTAAAAGTAAGATACAAAAGAAAATTGACAGTGAAATATCAAGATTTAACCTACACAATTGATGAAATAAACTTAACTTACATCTACTGAAGATGTCATTAACAGCAATAGAATACATGTACATTTCAGCAGCTCCCTGAATTTCTCTAAAATAGACTGCACTTTAAACAGAACTGATATTCATCCTATGCAGTCACAGTGGGGTGAAGCTGCTGATCAACTACAAGAGAAGCCACAGAAACTTCACAAACACATTCAGATGGAATAATAGACTTTTAAGTTACCAGTGGTTCAATGAGAAAATCAGTGGGAAATTTAAACAATCCTAGAATGAAATGCTGTAGCATACTGGAATCTGGGAGGCAGAAATGGCCACTCTAAGAGCACAGTTTATAGCTATATATCCTTATATTTAAATACATAACCAAATGATTCATCTCAAAATCTTAGAAAAACAAGAATAAACCAAACCCTAAAGTGATGGAAAGAAAGAGATAATTGAGATCAGAGGTTAAAGTAATAACATGGAGACTAAAATACAAAGGATCAAAAAGTAGATTTTTTTTGAAAAGATAAGCAATATTGTTAAGGTCTCATCCAAACTAAGAAAGAGAGAGTTTTAGGGCTGATAAATTTAGCAAAGTGACAGGATACAAAATTCATATGCAAAAGCAATAGCTTTTCTCTATGCAAATAATTATCTTGGTTAGAACGAAACCAAGAAAGTAGTTCCATTAAAAACAGCTTAGGAATAAACCTAACAAGGAAGTGCTAGATCTCTATGATGATACTTATAAAACATTAAAGAAAGAAACTGAGGACAGTGCTAGACGGAAAGACTTTCCATGATGGATTGGTAGAATTAATATTGTTAGAATGACTACATTACTGAAAGTGGATACAAACATTCAATAAAATATTCATCAATATACTGAGGACATGCTTCATAGAAGAAAAAAATACTAAAATTGTCATGGAGGCATGAAAGACAGAACAGCCAAGGGAATCCTGACCACAAGAAACACTGATGGATTTATCACAATTCCTGATTTGAAAATATACTACAAAGCCGTAGTAATAAAAATGGTATCATACGGATACAAAATGGCCATGTGGACAAGTTGAATGGAACAGAGGCCACAGGCAAACAGAAACATGAGACATACTGTCATCTGGCTCTTTACAAAAGAGACAAAAGCATTATAGAGAGGACCCCCTCTTTAATAAATGGGGTTTGGAAAACTCGGTATTCATATATAGAATGTTAAAACTAGACCTGCATCTCTCACCCTGTGTAAAAATCAATTCAAAAATAAATCAGAAACTAACATATAATGAAGCTTTGACACATTCAGCAGTAGGCAGGCTACCCAGAGTCTCTGGATGGGCTGAATTCTGAAGGAGTCCCCCAGAAAATGCCAGTCTGTGACAACTACAAGGAGTACAGAGCTCTTCACACATGCAGCAAGGCACAACCACAGATGTCAAGAACAACCGGGGAAACAACATCATGAATAAAGCAAACCGAAGTGCCTGTGAGTAACCGTAAGGAGGTGAAGATGTATGGACAGTGTAACAAAGAGTTCAATATTACTGTTGTAAGGAAGCCAGCACATTTCAACAAAATATAGAAAGTCAGTTTGCCAAAATGACACAAACAATAAATCACCAGAAGAGGACATTTAACAGAGAAATTAAAATAATACCATAAGTGAAGTAAAAATGCCAAAGAGCATCAACAGCAGAGAAAAGTATCTGTGAACCTGAAGAGGAGTTGTTGGCATAAGAAAAATGTCAAATAATAAAAAAAGCTTATGGAATTTATGGAACAGCATTAAAGTAGCAAATATTGAAGTCATAGAATTTCAGTAATATGGAGAGAAAGATAAAGAGGTGTCAAATTTAAAGAAATTATAGCATAAAACCTTCCAAACTTAGAGAAAGTTATAAATATCCAGATACAGAAAGGTCAAAAGTCTCTAATCAGGTGCAGTTTAGACAAGATTACCTCAGGACCTATTATACTGAATTTGTCAGTGTTCAGAGGCAATGGCAGTGTCATGAACACAGAGAGAGGTAATCGCATAGAAGGAAATTTCAGTATGGCTACCAGCACACTTCCCAGCAGAATCCTTAGAGGCCAGCGTGAGAGTGTATATTAAAAGAGTTAAGGAAAATAACTGGTGACCAAGAATGTTATAACTAGCAAAGTGTTCTTCAAAAATAAGAAAATAAAGAGAATCCCCAACAACCAACACCTAAAGGATTTCATCATCAGATCTGTCTTATAAAAACTGCTCAATGGAGTTTTTCAAATCAAAAGAAAGCATGCTAGTGAGTAACACAACATGTGAAAGTAGAAAAGTCACTGGTAAAAGAAAGTGCATATTCAAATTAAAATACTCTAATACTGTAATAGTGACAAAATTATGTATTTATTATGAAGCATAAATGACAATGCTATTAAAATATCAGCCACATAATTTTCTACTGATATCAATATAAAATGGCCTAAACTGTATCATCAAAAGTCAAAATGGATAAAACAGAGTTGATATGCAGTTTTGAGTATGTATGTGATCCAAGTGTTTTAAGCTTAAAACAATCTATTACATCTTAAAGAAATTTTTGTTAGGATCATGGTATCCATACAGTAAACACCGATGACAAATACAATAGAAATTTATTGATCAGGTTGCTGAAGAACAGTTAATAATGTTGTCTGTATGGTGAGTCAGATAATCTGGCATGGACGAATCAGAGGATTGATGCAAGAGAGGGCATCCGGATCATCTCAAAATGACAGAATGGTGCGGATACTAAAACAGAGAATAAAAGACATTATTTTAACATTTAAAGTGTTCCCAGTCTTTCACGCAAGTGCAGGAAACACTTGCTGTATCTCACTGAAAATTATCTGTGTGCCCATCCACTCCATTCCTATCTCCGTGGATTCAAGCCAAGTCAGTATAAGGGCAATTTTTACTTTTCTGGCTCTCTTTCCATCTCTTTTCAATCTTGGTGTTCCTTCCTTCCAATCTTAAACTCATTCATGACCTGATGTGACTGCGATTTAGACTTCAATTCTACATTATCATCCTTTGAAATTCGTTTTAAGATCCTGCATGCCTAGCCTGGACAGCAATGGGCAGTGACACATAACGTGTTGCTATTTGTCACATTCTTTGTAGATGCTTCTTAAGTATTAACTCTTTTAAAAGTCAAACTAAACAATAAAATTATGAGAGAGGATCTCATATTATTTCCATGCTAAGGAATATAAAAAGTGAGACTTCAGAGATTTGGAACTTATTCTTGGTCATACAACTAGAATGTGTGGATGCTAGGATCAAAACGCAAATAAAAATTTGCTCAACTTATAAGACAACAGAAAACTTGCCTGAAGAAAATGATGGTTTAATAAAGTTGACATCATGTTAAAGGCTTAGTAAAACTTTGCGATGGAGGTGTTTAAGGACTTGCAGAATTAAAAATAAAATTGATTTGTATAATTCTAAGAAACTTCATCTTTCAGGTAAATTAGAATTTGACACTTATACAGGAAATAATTCCTTTTCTATGAAGCACCTCCTGATGGATAATATTCTTCAAAATAGATGATAAAGATATGATCTCTCTCTCTCTCTCTCTCTCTCTCTATCTATATATATATATCGACGATATATGTGTGTGTGCTTAGACATATAAAAATACATACAGATAATTAAAAATACAAGACAGTGTGAAGATGAAAATAAAAATAACCTATTATTCCACAATTTCAAGATGACCATTGTTCTATTATTATTTTCTTGAATTTTTATCAATGCTTTCCTAGACATATACGTATTCTATACTGTTCTTATTGAAATTTGTGATTATATTTTGTATAAAGTTGTTTTTTTATGTGTTAAAAATAATACGGTGAGAATTTCCCATGCAATAAAATCATTTTTAAATGTCATCATTAATTTCTAATATGTGGTTGGAATTTAAGTGTTCCATTAATGTTGGATATTTTAGGATATTTCCAATTTTGATATCATAAATAACATTTAAACATACAGATAGTTCTGTAGTTATTTGCATGTAATAGTTTTTTATTATGAAATTATTTGGACAAAAAATCTAGGATTTTTTAATAAAAATTAGAAATTGTTTCCCCAAAAGCTACAAATTTAAACATGGTATGAAAGTGCCCAGGTCATCATATCTTTACCAATTCTATGTAGTATAACTTTTAGCTGATGCTAATCCATAGGGTTTATTTTATTTAAATGTGCATATTTGAATGTAAGGGATTCTCATAAAGAAGATGTGGGAATTTTAATGAATCATTTGCTGCTCAGCGCATCTCTGTGAGTTTTCTATGTATTTCCCTCATTCTTTTCATCCTGAAGATGATGATAACAACAACTAGCATTTGATGACTAGTATGCATAGCTCTACAACCAACAAAAGGCTTCATGGTTTCATGGAAAGTAAGTGGACTCTGTCAGCAAGCAAAACTACAGTAACTTTGAATCCTGTCTCCTCTGACTACTACTGGCATGAGTCTATCGAAGTCTTGTTCTCACAGCGACTCAGTTTCCCCAAAGGTGGTGCAGTGGAGGCCAGTACACCATCACTGTTCGGGGATCACAGGAGGTGAGACCATGGGAAGAGCAGCCGATGCCGCATTGAATTCCCTCAGCAGTGTGCGTCAGAGGAATATCTGATACGATGTTTTATGTAAGGGCACTGAAGTCTTATTCATATTTGTAAACCCATGAGAAGGGTGGGCAGCAGAAATGCCTGTAGAAAGGAGCTGAACGGAGGAGGTTGTATGTAGTTATTACTATCTATATGCATGTAAATGCAGGTGCCAAATTCATTTGATTAGGAGGTTGTAAGTGTGAAATGTCCAAAGTAGAACGTGCGGGCTTTTTTCTCTAATCTTCGGAGCAAGTGGGAGACTTAAGCATTTAAAATAGCACTTTGAACCATATCTTTAGCATAGCGATCTTTGTGAAAATTTCTTAGCAAACTCCAAAGAGAAAAATAAGTGTAGTCTTAAGAGGAAATGTTATTAGTATCTGTATAGAAAACAATCAATGGAGTTCTCCCTGCTCTTACAGTGAAAGTTCAGGGATGTCCTGAACGTAAGCCCCTGACTTACGAAAGACTTTCTTTCCAGAAGAGCGTTCGTAAGTCAGATTCATTTGTAAGTGTGACAAAGAGACTCTTGCACACCTTTGACACAAATATACGAGGTAAAGCACAAAATCACAAATACACTGTATCCCTGCCTGTGCTGTACTACTGTACTCTCTTGCACTGTGCAGTAAGCACACAGCAGCACCACTGTGACAATGTCCAGCAGACATGTGAGCTACCTCTACAACTGCTTTGCATCTACCGGTGTTTATAATGCAAGGCCCGTTAGTATTTGTGAAAGTTCACAACTCGAATGTTTGTGTGTCGGGCACTTATTCTATAAGAATTACAGCCATGGGTGGTCAACATTTAGTTGTCACTTAGAGGCCTCACTGACCCCACGATTTAATTATGATTTGGTGACTGACGATTTCTCGGGAAAAAGTGAGTGTGCTCTCATGCAAAGCTGGGTGGCTCTAGTTACTCAGACTGCCCTAAAGCAACATGATTCAGCTTTAGCAGCACAGGAAATGCTAAGCAACTGTAATTGACTTTCCACAGTGTGACTGATTTTAAATGTTCTTCAGGTTTCACTCACCCCTCTCTCTTTCATTCTCTGTTAGCCAGTTCCCTACTACAAACAGAAACTGAAAATCTACCTCTTTCCGGAGTGAAGCAGGTCAAATCCTTCATTTATCTTTTCAAAAGGTAAAATATTGGTTATTAATGGATCCAGTGGAAATTTCTTTGCCATAAAATCGGCCACCAGTTTGGGGACAGAATCTTTACTCTTAAAACCTGAAAGAAAGATATCATTGTTAGGTTCAACAGGGATAAGCAGGAGAACCGGAGAGGAAACATAGACATAAAATAAAAGGTTCTAAAAAGTGCTACTCTCTGCAAATGCTAGTGGAGAAGACAGTATGAGAAGGGGGCTTCCACACTATCACGCAGTGCTTGGCCTGTGCTTTAATGTCCCAAATAAACTGGGGCCCATGACTAGCTGGAGAGTCCTTATCAGCTCTTTCATAGGGAAATCATATGACTGCCCAAAGTCAAGGTGCAAGTTTACAGTTGTCTCCGAGTGAATGAAGAGTGTAGACGCTGATTATCACTGCATTTCCTGTGTGTGTCCTGCTAGGAAATTTGGTGCCTCGTGCATTCACAAGCTCTTTTTAAAGAGCTGGTACTGAAAGTCCCTACTTACTTAGCTGGGATGCCAGAGAAGTCTGTCCTGGGACTTTCTCTCTACATTTATTCTATATCTAATTGTTTTGGATGCTATAACTACAACAGGAATTTTAATTGCTGTTTTTTTTTTAACTGCAGTGCTTTTCAAAACATGACCTTGTCACGTATAAAGGGAAGAAATTCTGAGGCTAATATAAATTTGGTCCTCACACTTTACTACCTACCACCAAAGATGGCCCCTTTCCAGGTGCGTCCAGTCAACAGCAGCGTAGGATTCACTGAGAGGGTTTGGGAACCAGGAGGGACTCCAACAATGACGCTCACACCAAATGACTCATTGCAGCAGAGCAAGGCAGAGGCCTGGAATAAATACCAATAAATATTTAGCACCCTCAAAGTGGATTGCCTGATTGCCCTACTCATGGTACACAATATCATGTAAAATTCAGTTACTAGGTTGTAACCGTGTAGAGCAAAGAAAGTATATTTTTGCTTTTGCATTGTTCCTTGAGTCTAGCACTGTTGTGACTTTGAAAAATGCCTAGGAAATATTATTTGAATAAAACAATGAACGAATTTCTTCCTTATAAATACATAAGGAGGCAAATATTGTTACAAATGTCCAAAGTCTGGGTTGTCAGGGAGGTTGTTGGTTGTTTTATCACAATGCTCAGGTAATATGAGAGTCACTTCATTTTTTCATTCATCTTAATCATATCTTTTGTTGGTGAAAAAGACATACTGTTACATTATCACAATTTCTCTCTTGTCCACTTGGCAAGTTTTGTTCATAAGAGATTTCTATTCTATTGTCTATTTCTGAAAAGGACCTGTTTCAAGTTATACTTTGCCTCCCTAAAATGTATCCTGGTTTAATCATAAACTACACCCATTATTCCAGAACCTCAAATGCAGTGCAGAAACCCTTCCTCTCGAGGCAGTATTCTGAACTGTAGTGAAAGCATGGTTTATAATTCCCCAGGATATATATGATTGATTAGTCTTTGATTTTGATACTTCATTGTTTTTTGAAAAGCATTTTCTGTTTGCTGTGTGCCACGCATGGCAACCTGCCTGTGGTAGAACACAGCGACTCATGAAAGCAAGTGCCTTCCGTAGGCTATATCTTCTTTTAGTAAGATAATACTTAGTCCACTACTGTTTTGGAAGTTTGCAGAATTTATTGAAACACAAAAAAATTTAAGCTATATTTGTTAATAATATAGAAGAAAAATAAATTTGCTAATTTGAGTGCAGACTTTGTATTATTTATATTTCCTTGTTCAACTCTTTTGCTACCAACCCAGATCATTAACTGATAATGGCTCACTTAAAATATAAACCCTGTCCATCAGTAAAGAAATGTTATCTTATGGAATATAGGATTTCTCATAACCTTAAATTTAACCATCCAAGTAACAAGCAGGAGATGGAAAATTACATTTCTAAAATATAGTTACTCATGATATCGACATTTGATAGCCTAGAAGCGTATTCCAGGTTGCAGAAGGTGAGCTACCAAAGCAAGCATTGGTACATACCATGGTGTCGAGCCGACCAATGACTTCAAAGGAGAAATCCACGCCTCCATTGCTCATTTCCTTCAGCACTTGCTCAATGGGTTTGTCATAGTCTTGGGGGTTGATGCACTCAGTGGCACCCACCTCTCTGGCCTTTTTGAATTTGTCTTTGTTGATGTCCACTGCAATGATCTTGGCTGCTCCAGCAGCTTTGCAGCCAATGATAACAGAGAGGCCAACTCCTCCCAAGCCAAACACAGCACAGGTGGAGCCCTGGGTGACCTGTGTTTGCGGAAAAGGTAAAAGTAGATTGATACTGATTGTTTGTTAGAAAGTGCCTGAGCCATATAAAGTTCCAGCCGTTGTTTCCTCTCAGGAGCTACTCAGACTCCATGTTGCCCTGCTGCCAAGCCTCTTTGGGCTATGGTTACATCATATTTAAATCAAGGGTCTCGAACTAAAGCAGTGTTTCTCAAACTGGACTATACATGAGCCTCATCTGGGAACTTTCAGAAATCACAGCATCCCTGCCACAGCCATGCCAATCAAATCAGCGTTACTTGCAGGTATGACCCTGTCCCCAGGGCACTCCAATGGAGAGCCCGGAGAGCCACTGAGCTGAATAAGCTTTGCACTTTAAGTATCAGTGACTCTCATCATGATGACATGACAATCTCAGATCCAGCTTCACACACAAGAGCAATTTTGGGGCTATGATACAAATGGATGAGGTTACTCAGGAAACAACTATAATCTAATCAAACTCAATAATTAACTCCTTCCTTAGTTCAGTAAGTTTCTGTGGACATAGGCAATGCAATGAGATCAGAAAATAGCTCTGAAGCCACTGGCTGTGGCTGCTGAACAAGCCCAATCTTCTATAGTCAGCATTTGGTAGACAAAATATCCCTGTCCCAGGTAAGCTCATATCATAGCCCAGGTAATATCATAAGTGATAATTCATTGTGTGTTCACTCACTCATTCCTTCATCCAATGTTATTAAATGCTATGAATCACAATACCATTTTCAATTTGGAAAAATGGGGCTCGTCATTGTGAGTCAAAGGTGCTAGTAATTCTGTATCGTGATTCAGATCAAAATCTCAGGAGAGATTCCAGCCTCAGATCAAATACTTACCAGCTTTACACATGTAGGCAAATGACTTTGTGTCTGGACCTCAGTTTTATAAAACAAACCATGCTATAGCATTTGAGAAGAGGTGTCTAGAATGAGTTTCTACTGATACATACCACTTCTGATGTATGTGTGTTGTGTGGTAAGGGAGATGTGGTACTGAAATCCCATACAGAGTGGCAGAAATGTGACGCCTCATTAATTTCACAGAGTGGGTGACCCTGGGTGTGAGGCTGTTTCAAGTAAGGTTTGGAATACACTGTTGACCTGAATCCTGGACATAGTGAATGCAGACACATTTGTCCTTCCAAACAACTCTTTGGAGCCATTGTTCATCTGATGTTTGGTGCATCAGAGCTGTTGGTTCCTCACTGCTAGTGAGAGAAGGGTGGTTTATCTTCAGCTTTCTCCTCTGGAGTCATAGAGAGGGAGGAAAAGGATGATCTAGTAGCTTCTTATTTTAAAATTTGAAATAGAAAAAACCCTTATATTTTGTTTACATTGGCTCCCTCAACCTAGCAGAACCTATTGCCCTGATATGTGTACCTTTGCACTCTAATTGTAAAATAAAATGAGCCCCCAAGTCTAAAACTCAGTAGTCTCACAAAAGCAAATATAGAAGAGGTGTTGAAAAGGAAACCTCTACTTTTCTTTTCTTTACCTAAGTATCAACAGCCTTTTCATTTGTGATAAACAGGTAAATTTCCTAGGACAGGTTTTCACTTTCTTTCTACTTTTCCATAAATTCTACTTTTTACTTCTCCATAAATTATCACCTCCACAAATCTGTGAAAATAACCCATGATCCCTAGAAAAAACTTCTTCCCTATGGCTGCTGGCAGGCTGAGTGTATCATTGTCCACGGCCAACCCTACCTTGGCCACTTTGATCGCAGAGCCATAACCGGTGGAAAATCCACAGCCGATGAGGCAGACTTTCTCCAGCGGTGCAGCTGCATCGATCTTGGCTACGGAGATCTCATCCACCACTGTGTACTGGGAAAAGGTGCTGATGCCCATGAAGTGGTGGATGGGCTTCCCTCTGCAGGTGAACCTGGTGGTGCCATCCAGCAAGGTGCCCTGACGCTGTGGCAAACTGGTCGGTGAAACACAGACACACAAAGGACATGAGATGGAGCACAACTAATGTGCAACTTCATTAGCAGAGCAAGAAGAGGGAAGACACCTACTCGTTTTTCAAACAGAAGTTGCTTTCCGGGTGTTTACAATTCCTGCATTTTCCACACTGGGGAGTAAACAGTGGGATGACTTTATCACCTGGAAGGGAAATACAATATATTGTTTTCAATTTCTACCCAGGAATTAATAACGTAAGTAAAGCTCACACATAGAGGCATGTGTCTTTGAAAATTTCTCCAAGAAATACAGTCCAGTCACAAGTATATCACTGGTCATTGCCTTCAGCTCTACTATCCATTGGATTCTGTGTCTGAAGATATTCAAATAGGACATGAAGGGGCAGATAACAACATGGATTAAAAATTATTTCCACTATATTAATAGTTGACATTATTGTGCACACTGATTTTACCTGGGAACTTCACACATCATCACACGGAATTCTTAATGACAGCTTAAATATTATCATGGCAAATATAAATATGAATTTTAGCTTCTATGAGATGTTGGAAGATGGGATGTTTTGTACAAAGCTACAATACAGTTAAATAAAAATAAATATTATTTCAATAAAATTGCAAATATTTAATCATTGGTTACATTAAAAAATGAGAAGTTTGATCATCTGTCTGCAGCTTTCCAGAGTCTGTGTTTATCTTTATTATATATGAAATCTTTTTAAAATCATGTTTTTTTGTTCTTTTATTGAGTTTATTGGTTCATTTTAGGTATACAGTACAATTACATTCGCTATTGGGATCTTGTACCTTTACATGACAGGTCTTGGTTCTCATTTTTTCCCCTTGTCCCTGCCCTCCTTTCACCCCCTCCTCCCTTCCCCATTTACAAACACTTTATTTCCATTATGTCAAATTTTTTTTCTTTTCCTTTATTACCGTTCCCCTACCCTTCCCATTTTCCCTGCAACTTTAGCCCGTTTCTTCCCATTTCATATGGTCAATTATCACATTAGGATCATATGTACTATTATAGTTTTTCACACCAGAGAAACTAAGAAATGTCTCACATCACTGGTCATTCATGAAATGCAGATGAAAACAACACTGAGATTCCATCTCACCCCAGTAAGAATGGCTGCTATCAAGAAATCAACCAATAAGAAATGTTGGCAGAGTTGTTGGGAGAAAGGAACCCTTCTCCATTGTTGGTGGGAGTGCAGACTGGTGCAACCACTGTGGAAATCAACATGGAGACCTCAAGGAGGTGGGACTTGGGGTTCCATTTGACCCAGCCATCCCTCTGCTGGGTATCTTTCCAAAAGAATTAAAAGAATCTTACCACAGTGATATATGTGCACCGATGTTTATAGCCACACAGTTTGTAACAGCTAAAACTTGGAAGCAGCCCATTTGCCCATCAGTTGGAAACTGGATAAAGAAGATGTGCTTTTTGTATAAAATGGAATACTACCCAGCCATAAAGAATGATAAATTAGATCCATTCTTAGGAAAATGGATACATATTGAGGATATACTCCTAAGTGAAATAAAGAAGTCACACATATGTAAATACCGAATAGTTTCTCTGGTGTAAAATCATGTTTCTTTAAAGGTTAAATTAACAAAAATGGCACAAAGAATTCAAGAAATTCCATTGAAAATCTTTAACAATGAATTATGTTCTTTCAGAATAGCAACGAACTCAAATAATTTTAGCTAGGAATTTATGAAAAAATGAATTATTTCTGCTGTAGATAAGGTAGGGAAATAGAAAAATGGTCACATTTTTTTCTAACTAAAGGAAATAACATTACCTCAAACAGAAACTATGCTCTTTGTTATATTTTCTGTTCAGAGTTTAACAATGTATTTGGAAAAGATGGAGGATGAATCTACTGGCTAAAGTGATGTTTTAAAATTAAACATAGCTCGCCTTTGAAATCATATGGCTATGTTTTCAACCAGACTCAGAAAAAATATTGGGCTATCACAGTTTATGAGTAAACGTGAAGATGACGGCATAGAAATGGTTTGCTAATTCACGTCTCATTATGAAAACATAATGCTACATAATGAGATTAGGATTAAGTAGTAAAATGAAATCATTATTCATTTGCAACCAGTTCAAGGATAACCGTGACTAACATTTGAAAAGTGACATTGGTAGCTGCGGGCTTCCTGCCATGCTTCTTTCATTTCCTTCCCTCTGCTCTCGTAATGGTTTCATGAGCAGGAAGGAGGCCATCTTGGAAGAGGAAGTTGGTGAGCAAGTGTCACAGCAGAGCTGACAAGAGACCCTGATAACTCACTCACAGCCTTGCAGCCCTATCTTGTGAAGTCTCCACAGAGCAGTGTCATACACGGATCTAGAGACTGGGATGTAGGCTTCCGTTTTTTCCTTGTCCCATTTGTAGTTCTGCTTGGATCTTGACAGAGTCAGGGCTCTGCCACACTAACAAGGAAGCTATTAGAAAAGAACTGCACTCCGATGGGCCCTGCGTGCTTGTGATCCTCATGTACATCCAGCCCTAACCTGGTGCCTGGCATGGAATATAAACTCAATAAACAGTTACTGAAGGAGAAAATACATGATCCTTTGTATGTAGCGTGCCAGAGTCGGGCAGAGAGAAAGGAAAAGGGGCTGCCTTAATGTTCCCAGCTCAGCCAGGACCTTGCGCACCCCTAGGTGTCGCCATTCCTGATCTCGCCTGGATGATCTTGGCATCATGAACCAAAGCACATTGAGTGAGTGAATTCTATACCTGGCTTTACTGAAGTCACCCCTTCTCCAATGCTTTCCACGATGCCAGCTGCCTCATGGCCTAGAATTATAGGAAGAGGAAATTCAAGGTGTCCAGTAACCACATGGTCATCTGAGCGACAGATTCCTCCGGCCACCATCTACAGATGAAAGGGCAGATGATAAGATCCAGAAATGACCATGACTTTCAGAAGATTTAACATAGTTTCCCAAAATTTGGCTTCTAAAGACTTCCAAGATCTTGCTAATAATCCACCTTCTGGGCCAGGGATTTAATTCAGTGGTGACACCGCCTACCTCATAAGCACAAGGACCTGAGTTCAATACTCAGTACAAAAAAACCAAACAAACAAATAAAAAAAACTCACCTTCTTTCCAAATAGAAAACAATTATTTTTTTCTACTTTAATTAAGTTTATTGGTACATTTTAGGGATACAGTACAGTTACATTCATTGTTGGGATCTTGTACCTCTACATGACAAGTCTTGATTCTCATTTTTTCCCCTTACCTCTGCCCTCCTTTCACCCCCTCCTCCCCTCACCATCTACAAACACTTTATTTTCATCTTTTCATTCTCTCACATTTTTTTCTTTTCCCTTTTTACTCTTCCCCTACCCATCCCACCTTCCCTACACCTTTAGCTCCTTTCTTCCCATTTCTAAATGTCAGTAACCTTATTAGAATCTTATGCATTGTTGTAGATTATTTACACCAGGGAAACTATTCGGTATTTACACATGTGTGACTTATTTATTTCACTTATATCTTCAATATGTATCCATTTTCCTATGAATGAATCTATTTTCTCATTCTTTATGGCTGAGTAATATTTCATTTTATAGAAAAAGCACATCTTCTTTATCCAGTTTCCAACAGATGGGCAAATAGGCTGTTCCCAAGATTTAGCTATTACAAACTGTGCCGCTATAAACATGGGTGCACATACTTCTCTGTGATATGATTCTTTTAGTTCTATTGGAAAGATACCCAGCAGAGGGATGGCTGGGTCAAATGGAACCTCCAGTCCAAGCTCGTTGAGGTATCTCCATATTGATTTCCATAGTGGTTGCACTAGTCTGCACTCCCACCAACAATGGAGAAGGGTTCCTTTCTCCCCACAACCCCACCAACATTTGTTATTGTGTGAGTTTTTGATAGCAGCCATTCTTTGTGGGGTGAGGTGGAATCTCAGTGTTGTTTTCATCTGCATCTCTCGAATGACCAGTGATGTGGAACATTTTTTCAAATATTTTGTTGCTGCTTTTACTTCTTTGTCTGAGTAATGTCTGTTCATTTTGCATGCCCATTTTTGAATCGGGTCTTTATATTTGGGCGGACTAATTGTTTTGAGTTCTTTCTATATCCTTGATAATAGTCCTTTGTCTGAGGAACAGCTGGTAAAAATTTTTTCCCACATTGTAGATTGTCTCTTAGTTCTGCTGATGGTTTCTTTTGAAGTACAGAAGCTTTTTAGTAAGATGAGATCCCAGTTGTTGATTCTATCTGCTAGATCCCGTGCTACTGAGGATTTGTTCATAAAGTCTTTTCCTATACCAATGTCTTCCAGAGTTCTCCCTAACTTACCTTCCAGCAAGTTTGATGTTTCTGCTTTAATATTTAGATGTTTAATCCATTTGGATTTTAATTTAGTGCATGGGGAAAGATAAGGGTCTAATTTTAATCTGTGGCAGGTTGACATTCAGTTTTTCTAACACCATTTATTAAAGAGGCTATCTTTCCTCCGCTGAAGATGGTCAGCTCCTTTGTCAAAGATGAGGTTGCTGAGTACATCTGGATTTGTTTTTGTGTCTTCCAGTCTGCTCCACTGATCCTCAGGCCTATTTCTTTGGCAGTACCATGCTGTTTTATCACAGTGGCTTTGTAGTATAGTTTCAAATTGGGAATTGCTACACCTGGTGCCATGTGTCTGTTGCCTAAAATAGCTTTAGCTATTCTAGGTCTCTTATGGTTCCAAATGAATTTTTGGATTCTTTTTTCTAGTTCTGTGAAATATAGTGTTGGAATTTCAATTGGCATTGCATTGAATGTATATAGCAGTTTTGGTAGTATGGCCATTTTCACTATGTTGATTCTTCCTACCCAGGAGCAGGGGATATCTTTCCATTTTTTTATATCCTCTTCGATTTCTTTTTTCAGAGTGCTGTAGTTTTCAGTGTAGAGATCTTTTGTTTCTTTTGTTAGATTGATTCCTAGATACTTCATTTTTTTGCATGCTATTGTAAAAGGAATTTTTTCCCTTATTTCTCTTTCCATGTGTCTGTTATTTGTGCATAAGAAGGCTATTGATTTTTGGGTATTCACCTTGTATCCAGATACTCTACTGAATCTGTCAATTAAGTCTAGAAGTTTTTTGGTGGAGTTTTTTGGATCTTCAATGTAGAGTATCATATCATCAGCAAATAATGATAGTTTAACTTCTTCCTTTCCTATCTTTATTGCTTTAATTTCTTTCTCTTGTCTCATTGCTGTGGCTAATGTTTCCAGAACTATATTGAAGAGAAGTGGTGATAATGGGCAGCCTTGTCTTGTTTCTGATTTTAACATGAAGGTTTCCCGTTTTTGGCCATTTAATATGATGTTGGCTGATGGTTTTTCATAGATAGCCTTTATTAAATTGAGGTATAGA